GAGACGGCAAGGGAAGGTCACCGTCAAGTACGACCGCAAGGAGCTACGGAAGCGCCTCAACCTGGAGGAGTGGATCTTAGAACAGCTCACTTGTCTCTACGACTGCCAGGTGTGCTCCCCACCCCGCGCCGATACCCTAAAATCGGACCTAAGTCGGTCTGCTCAGAATCCCCATCATCAGTCTGTCACCAGTCAGTGGGAGCCCGCTCCCAAGCCACCCGGCGTACACTCGCTGCTCCCGTGTGAGCTTTTTCTTGCTTGACCTGAGTCACTAGCTTTCACCGCTGCCTCGGACCTTGCGTCCTTCGTGGTACTGCCCCAGGTTAAGCATGGTGTCCTCCCCAAACCTAGAGGGATAGATAGCCTGGCCTGGGACTGGAGATAGGGGTCTAGCCTGGGCTGACAGTGAAAGGTCTAATCTGGTTAGTCTAGTCTGGGCTAGCATAGACACTAGTTGAAAGGCACAAGTGTAACCGTTCAAGTGTGTAAAGGATCGGAGTTGTTCTAGTGGGCTAACCTGCCATTCTGTCTGTGGAGACGGGTTCCCCACCCCATGACTCCCTGCTTGTTCAGACAGTGACTCAGGCTCCCAGGGGGTAGGGTGGAGGAGTGGGCTTGCCCTGAGATGCCTACCCTAACCCAGCCCTGGAATGCAGCTGGCTCCAAGTGGGATAGCTGTTCCCTTGGGGAAGGAGGTGTACCCCTTTCTCCGTAAAGCATGGGCTCTTTGTTTCCACTTTATCAAGCATGGGTCTTTCCCATTGACCCCTCACCCTTCACTTCCTTCTCCCTCCCAGGAAGCTGTGACAGGTGTTTGGGGGAGGGGAGGGGACCATGATGAACTGGGACAGCTGGCCTCACCAGTGCTCTGGTAAGCTAGAGGACCTGGATACTGAGAAGGCACATCTGCTGGGTTCAAAGCCTAAGGTTCCCAGGCCTGTCTGTCTGGCGCCCCTGGTGCCCACTGGCAGGGACAGGAAGTTCCCCCTCATTGGGCAGTTTGCCTTGGCACAGACCTGATCTGTTTTCCTTCCCAGAGCAGCTGTCTTCTGCTGGGCAAGGAAGGCTGGTCTGGTTTTGAGTTAGGCAGGGAGTCCTTTCCACACTCTCTCTGGGCTGAGGTACTGTCCTTTCCTATCCCTATCCCAGGAAGAGGAGATTCCAGAGCTGGAGATAGATGTGGATGAACTCTTGGACATGGAAAGTGATGATACCCGGGCTGCTAGAGTCAAGGTAAGCTAAAGTCATCTAGTGGAAAGCTGCCTGGAGACACTGCTCCTTGGGGAAGCTCAGCCTTGGTGTTATACCTTCTTTGGCTTGGGTCATCTTATGCCTCTGGAAAAAATGAGGCTCATGGAATTTAACTTAGCTATGTTCCTATGTGGCCTCAGTCTCTTGGGAGGGTATAAGTGAACTGTGAGTCCCTGTCCCCAAGAACTCACTATGTTCTCCCTCACCAGGAGCTGTTAGTTGACTGTTACAAACCCACTGAGGTAAGTCATTTTCCCTGGCCTTAAGGTGAGTATGTATGTGTGGCTGATTGTCATCTTGGGTCTCAGCCTCCTAACAGCCTCTTCCTATCTAGGCCTTCATCTCTGGCCTGCTGGACAAGATCCGGGGCATGCAGAAGCTGAGCACACCCCAGAAGAAGTAGGGTCCTGACCCAGATGACCATGGCTCCCACAGGACAATCGCTGCCCCCAACCTCGTAGCAACAGCAATACCGGGGACCCTGCAGCCAGGCCTGGCGCCATGAACAGGGATCCCCCGTGCCCCTGCCTAGGGGCACTTCCCTTGCCCTCAGTTTTCCATTTTTGGGGTTTTTTATTGTTATTAAACTGATGGGACTTTTTGTGTTTTTATATTGATTCTGCGGCGCAGGCCCTTTAAAAATAAAGCTAGGATACACCTTTGGAGCAGCTAACAGGCTTGGCTGGTCTTTTATGGGGGACACATTGCTTTACAATTGTCACCAGCTTAGCTACTCCCCAGGTGACCACAGACCTTCCTTCTTCCTTTTGCCATGGAGCTATGGTGATAACTCATGCTGGCCACCAGCAGACTTAAAAGCTTTCTATCTGCACTGGGTAAGGGTTTTGAGGCCTTTGAGACCCTCAATAGCTACACCTCAAGGCTCTGCAATTATCAGGAAAGCTGAGACAGACGGAAGCTGATTTTGTTTTCTCTTCCCCCATGTTGGGGTTGGGGGCGTGCTTACTCATATTAGACCAGTGCCCCACCCTGACCTATTCTCCCAATACTGGCTGAAGCTAAGCATCTTAGGATCCACAAAGAAACACAGACTCACTCTTGGGGTTTTAAAGTTTTTTTTTGTTTTGTTTTGAAGCAGTCTGGTCCCTGACAGGGGTCTCCTACCCCTCTGCAGCCTGCTACAGTTCTGAACGTCGCTCAATCTTGAGCAGCTCCACCTCAAACACCAGGGTTGCTCCACCTAGAGGGAGAAGTGTGGTCAAACTGAGACCTGGGATCCTGGGAGAGTCTTGGGGCTGAGGTACTAGGGGTATTACCTGGGATCTTTGGGGGAGCTCCTCGCTCTCCATACCCTGTCAAAAACACATAAAGACACAAAATAAGTTACAGCCCTTCTAGCCCACAAGGATGATGACATCAGAGGTCTAGCAGAGGGTCACACTACAGCTGAGTATAAGCCTTACCAGTTCTGGCTGCTGAACACAAGCAGCCAGACTTGCAAGTGGCATATACTACAGTGACTATAGGGTGAGGACCAATGAGGCTCAAGTGGCTTTAACCATTTTAGGCACAACTAAGTATACTCCCTCCCAATCCCCCCTAACCCTACGGGCCTCTTACCCAGCTCAGACGGGATCACCAGCTTCCGCTTTTCCCCTTCACACATCCTGCAGGATGACACACGCTCCACATGTGAGGCACCCAGACTCCCAGACCCTTGCCCTACAAATGGGCCTTTCCTCCCACAGCTTATTTCCTGGGTCACTACAACATGTACCCCAGACTCACCCCAGCAGCCCCTGGTCCCAGCCCTTGATGACCTGGCCAGTGCCAAGGGTGAAAACAAAGGGCTGGTTCTGTGGTAAACTGCTGTCAAACTCCGTCCCATCTTCTAGCTTCCCCTGTGGGACCATCAGAAAACTAGTTAAGAAGAGATGACCACTCCAGAACCCCCTTCACCCAGCTACTCTCCACCCCATCAATATGGTCACCACAGCACTGGTGATTACATTCCTTAAAAGAGACAATGCCTTGATAGTTCATGTATAGTAATTTTAATGCTTAACACCTAGCTGATGAGTAAACTGAAAGGCAAGGCAGAATCATGGAAAGGAGCTTAGAGACCAAAGATGGATGTGTTCAAGGTCATCTGCCTAATTGAGAGAAGAATGAGATTCCTAGTCCGTTCTGGTCCCCAGAAACTGTCAGAGCCCCAGAATCCACACCCTGATACCTACCGTGTAGTGCATGTGCAAGACATCCCCCTTTCTAGACTTGATGGGACAGTGGTCCACGCGTTTCTTCACTCCAATCTGCAGCTTCCGTTTGCCTTCGGCCCCCTTGGCTGTGGCCAGGGCACTCAGGCAAATGGACAGTATTGTCAGGACCCGGCTCAGCCTCATGTCTCTGTAGGCACAGCCCACCTCCCTCAACCAAGGGGGAGGGTCATGGAACCTCAGTCAGTATCTGGAGGATGCCACCCCCATTGTATCTTGCCTGTTCCCGGAGAATTCCACTGTCACCACCCTCTCCCCTGGGCTCTGTGGCCACACTTACCAGTCCAGTGAGAAGGGGACTTGGTCGAGGACCCCAGCAGCGAGGGGAGGGGGAGAGGGGAGGCCACAGCAGCCAGGGCCCCGCCCCTTTACTCAATACCAGACCTTCCCTTCCTCCCGGTCCCCATTTCCATTCAGTTCCCGCCAGCCCCTTTACGCAAAGTCCAAACCCTATCTGGTTGCACCGGAGTAGTCCCGACTGTGCGACCCCACTCCCGCCACACCCAGCTGCCTCCTGTCCAGCACACCCACACCTCTGCGGCTGCCGCAGGTGGCCGGCCCCGAGGCACCCACACGTCTCCGCTAGGCGGCTCTGGGGAGCCCCGGTCCTCCGGAGGCACACCCCATCCCGGCCCCGTGCCCCCACCACCAGGGGTGCCCCCCCAGCTCTGAGCTCTCGGGGGCCTCCGGGGCACCCAGACTGGGCCCGAGTCAGCGGGACGCCGAGTCCGCTCCACCCACACAGTCTCTCCAGGGGGAGTTCTCGGTCTACCGCGACCCCAGGCGCGGCCACCACGGAGACCGCCCCCACGTGGACGCCCCGGGACATTACTCGGGCTTAGCTCTTCGCAAGGCTTCTTGGCCCCGCCCTGCAGAGCGCGTGGCTCCGCCCCCTGACCTGGAGCTCTGCCCTCGGCGGTGCTAGGCCCTTTCTCCTGCACAGGTGACACGCCACTCACCGGCCGAAGCCCCGCCCCCAGCGCCTGGTACCCCACGCCCTCTGTCTCCGAACCTAAAGCTCCACCTTCCACCTGCTCCGGCTCCTCCTCTAAACGCCAGACCCCGCCCCCCAGTCTTCCTAGCCTCTCTCCCCCTCCCTGGGCTCCGCCCTCCACGCGCACTAGTTCTGTGCTCCCTCCCGCCTCTGTTCCGCGTCCCGCCCCGAGTTCCAGGGCTCCGCCCCGTACGGCATGAGACCCCGCCCCCTGCGGCATTGCCAGACACTGGACCCCAGCCCCAATTCCCTCGTCTGCTCTCCCTCGCCGGCACGCGGATTCTGGCCCCCTTCTGTCCGGCCTGCCCCAGCCTGCCCTCCTGCACCCGAATCCCCCAGCCCGGGCTGTGGCCCCCCGCTCACCTCCTCACCGCACCCCCGGAGCCAATCCCTCTCGTGCTGTCACCTCTGCGCAGGCGCGTCCTCGTCGCTACAGGGCGGGACACGCTGCCCGCCCTCATTGGACCGTCCGAAACCCGCTGCTTCACTCTCAGGGTGGGGCTTCTCGCCTAGCCCCGCCTGCTGAATTACCATGTGGATAACATCACTTCCGGTGCCCAGGTCACCTGTCGGGTCTGGTAAAAATGATTTTTTGAAAGACAGAAGGCACTTCCGGCCAGGTGATATGATCAAGCAAGAATAAGTACGTTTTCCCCGAGGGGTTCTTGCCAGCACCGTGGTGACTTCTTTTGTCGTCATGACCCGCACGCCTTTGGGTAGTTGCTGTGGGAGGAGCTCAGGGTTCAGAGCGACACCCCTGGTTTGAATCCTAGGTCTTCTACTTCTTGTCTAGCTGCGTGACTTTGAGCAAGTTTGTTCTCCTGGTGCTATTCTGTGACACCTATCCCACATGGTCCTAACCTATGCGGTCGGACCCTTTTCATCTTGTGGTTTGCAGCATCCAGGCTCACCTTTGGTTTCTACACAATGAACAGTCAGGGCCTGCAGTTACCTGGCTGGACCTGGTCTACCAGTACCAGTAGACATTTGTCAACCGAAGGACCCTAAAATTCAGAGGAAGCCAAACCTGAGAGCATGTGCTCAAGAGGCCAAAAGAAGATAACCATGATGCTGAGTTAAAGTCAAGGGAAGCATCCTTATATCTGATGAAGCTTAGTGGGCTCAGAGGCTTTAGCTCTCAGGTTCTAGCCGTCATGAAGCCAGAATGTGATCACCAATATCACAGCTGAGAAAGTTGTTTAAACATAATAAAAATGGTGTGGTGCCCCAGCCTTTGGAGTTGGAAGAAGGAGCATCAGAAGTTCAAGGACATTCCCAGCTACATAAAGAACTCTGAGCCAGGGGCTGGAGAGAGAGCTCAGAGGTTAGGAGCACACGCTTCCAGAGGTTCTGAATTCAATCCCCGGCAACCACATGGTGGCTCACAACCATCTGTAGTGACATCAGGTGCCCTTTTCTGGCCTGCAAGCATACAGACAGAATACTGTATACATAACAAATAAATCTAAAAAAAAAAAACAAAACAAAACTCTGAGCCAGCCTGGGATACATGAGATATTGTCTCAGGGACAAAAAAGTTTAAAAGTAGCACCAGGGCTAGAGATGTAGCTAAGTAGGTAGTGCTTGCCTAGTATGCAGGAATAGGTAGGTTTGATTACCAGCAGTACATAAGCCTGTGTAGTGGTATAAAACTGTAATTCCAGTATATGAGAAGTGGATGCAGGAAGACTAAAAATTTATGTCATCCTTAGCTACATAAAGAGTATGAGGCCCATCTGAGCTATGTGAGACTCTTTCATAAATGCATAAAGTATGTGGCCATCATCATCAGGAATTCTTCAGTTTACCTTACTCCTGCTTTGGTATCACCAAGATCATGACTCAATATCAGTCCCTTCTTTAGGGTGGCTGCTTTCAGTCAATTCTGTTCTTGAATGTCTTGGAGTAGGGCAAAACCTAGGTGTCTAGGCTGGCCTTCCCAGTACACTGAGCTTGGAGTTAGGAATCTTAAGCAGCAGTTGATGAATCCTGGGATATTAGGGATCATACATGTGGAGGAGACTTGGGGGTATGGTTTTTGTTTTTTTGAGACAGGGTTTCTCTGTGTAGCTTTTGGACCCTATCCTGGAACTCACTCTGTAGACCAGGCTGCCCTGGAACTCACAGAGACCTGCCTGCCTCTGCCTCCTGAGTGCTGAGATTAAGGCATATGCCACCACCACCTTTTTAAAATCTTTTTTTCTTTTATAAATGTATTTATTATGTATGTATACAGTATTCTGGCTGCATGTATGCCTGCACACCAGAAGAGGGCACCAAATCTCATTATAGATGGTCGTGAACCACCATATGGTTGCTGAGAAGTGAACTCAGGACTTCTGGAAGAGTAGCCAGTGCTCTTAACTTCTAAACCATCTCTCCAGTGCAGGGGCGGGGAGAGAAGTATCTTAAAAGAGGCCTTCCAGCCACAAAGTGCAGCCACAGGGAACAACAAGTGTGCCCAGCAGGGAAAATGGATGTTACCTCCTATTGTGTGAAGAGAGTCATACTGTCTGGAACCCAAAGGGTTCCAATGGGGACAATCATCTGTTCTTTCCACATGAATATGGGAAACAGCTTATAAGGTGTGGGTCCTTTAATTTCCCTGGCCAGGGCAAACAGAACCTTTGTGGTGGGTAGGGGGCAGAAACTTCATCTAACAGACTTGATGAATCTGGGTTGTAGCTTTGCCTGGGAACTGATGTCAGACCCAGACCCATGGCCCTATGGGCACAGTAAGACAAGCTATGGGACTCAGATCAAGTGTTGCATACTTTCCTGCCCAAGGTGGCCAGCCTGGAGAATGGCAAACAACGACATAAGTAAACAGTGATAGTGCCTTCGATCTTTTTTATCAGGATGGGGTGGGGGGTGTCACATTTATCATAACAGCCCAAATCCCATTTGCAGAGGTTTGGGGTCTTCATAGTGAGGGGAAGCAGAGCAGCCAGAAGATGCTCACTAGCCTGGGGTGGTTAGCTAAGCTAGTAAGTACCCTGTTCCCCCTAAGGAGAGATATGAGGCTCCTTGCCAACTGTTAGATGGCAGTGCTAGGAGACAAAGGATCACAGGAGAGTTCTCTAAAAGGTCCAGGTCCTGGGACAGCTTCCTCCCAGTCTGAGTTGGTTCTATGCTCCTGTCTTCTCCCACTAAGATGGGGCCTGTGAGGCAAATGGCCCTGCAGTCTGTCTGAAAAGCAGCTTGTCACTTTCGAGGCTTCCGGCACCTGGGGAGTGGAGGAAGAGATATTAGTGCTGGCTGGAGCTTAACTCCAAGCTCTTCTTTTTATATTTATTCATTTTTAGTTTTTAAAATTTTGTTAAATGGGCTGGAGAAAAGGCTCAGTGGTTAAGAGCACTGGCCGTTCTTCCAGAGGACTGAGTTTAGTGGCCAGCACCCACGTGGCAGCTCACAACTGTAACTCCAGTTCTAGGGGACCTGACACCTTCACACAGACATACAGGCAGGCTTTGGGGGGGGGGGCTGGTACGTGTATGTGTTTTATGTACTTATGACTTAATCATCCTCCACATTTATCCTTTTTGCCTGGCATAATGGTACATACCTTTGATCACAACACTTAGGAGGCAGAGGCAGGCAGATGTATGAGTTCAAGGCCAGCCTGGCTGGTCTACAGAGCAAGTTCCAGGACAAGGACCTAGACCCTGTCCAAAAAAAAAAAAAAAAAAAAAAAAAAAAAAAAAAAAAAAAAAAAAAAAAACACAAACAAGCAAGAACATATTTTGCTATTTTTACTTAGGTGTATATGTCTACTGCATAATCACATATATACAAGTGCCTGCGGAGGTCAGAGGGGAGAGCTGGAAGCAGCTGCAGCTGGAGTTGCAGCCCCTTCCCAAGAGGGTTCAGGGTCTGTACTCAGCCTTCCTGCCACTGAGCCATCTCTCTCCACCCCCTCCTCTGTTTATCTTTGGAGACAGGGTCACTAAGTGTGAAGCAAACTGATTTCTGTATGATGGTTGGCCAACAAACTCCAGGTTCCTTTGTTTCTGCCTGCCCTTCCAACACTAGGTTACAATGTATCACTCCTACCTTTCTTCCTGGGAGCTAGGGATCCAAATTCAGGTCTTCATGCTTGAATGGTAGACACTTTACCAGCCAAGCCAAGCTCCCACCCCTATTTATTTACTTATTTATTCACCTATTTATTTATAGACCTTTTTTGTTTGCTTGCTTGTTTTTGAGACAGGGTTTCTTTGAGCAGTCCTGGGTGTCCTGGAACTCACTTTGTAGACCAGGATGGCCTCGAACTTGGAGATCCTCCTGCTTCTGCCTCCCAAGTGGTAGGATTAAAGGTGTATGCCACCACCAACTGGCATGGTATCTTTTTTTTTTTTCGAGACAGGGTTTCTCTGTATAGCTTTGGAGCCTATCCTGGCACTCGCTCTGGAGACCAGGCTGGCCTCAAACTCACAGAGATCCACCTGCCTCTGCCTCCCAAGTGCTGGGATTAAAGGCGTGCACCACCAATGCCCAGCATCTTTTATATTATGTATATGAGTGTTTTACTTGCATGCATGTATGTGCACTGCATGTATGCCTGGTGTCTTCAGAAGATGGCATTGGATGTCCTGGAATTGCAGCTATAGATGTAGGTGCTAGAAACCAAGCCTGGATCCTCTGCAAGACCAGAAAGTGCTCTTAACCATTGAGCTATCTCTCTCCAGCCCCTATTTACTCATGTGGGCCAAGCTAGCTTCAAACTCACTATGTCACAAGAAATGACCTTGAACTTTTGAGTGCCATCATGCCTGGTTTCATTTGGTGCTCAAGATCAAACCCAAGGTTTCTGGCATGCTAGACAAGCATTCTGTCAACTCTGTTACATCCCCAACACTTCTTTGTTAATATTGTTTGTTCATTGGGATCACTTTGGTCTAAAGCCCAGACTATCTTCAAAATCACTCCTGCCTCTAACTCCTGAGTGCTGCAATTACAGATGTACACCACCATACCCAGCCAAAGTTCCTTTTTGTCTTCTTGTGGATTTGGGGTTTCAAGAAGCCCAAGCTGGCTTTATACTGTGTAGCTGAGGTTAACCTTGAACTCCTAATCTTCCTGCCTCTACCTGAGTACCAAGATTCCTGGCATATAACACCATGCCTGGTCCTAGTATTCTTATGCATTTTGTTTTGTTTTGTTTTGTTTTTGTTTCTCGGGACAGGATTTTCTGTGTAGCCTTGGCTCTTGGCTGTTCTGGAAATCACTCTGTAGAACTCACGAAGATCTGCCTGCCTCTGCCTCCCAGATGCTGGAAATAAAGTCGTGCGCCACCACTGCCTGGACCTCTTTTTTCCTTTTTTGAACCCCATTTTCTCCTGATACTCTCTGGGGGTCTCCAGAGTCTGTCCCATATATCACCCCATGGCTTCACTATGGAACAGAGAAGGGCTGCTCAGCACTGTAAGCAGAGGTACATGGGGTTCCTATACGGCTTGTTCTCTCAAAGCCTACAGAAAGGATAAAATGTCTATCTTATGGGCTTCTGTGAAGACATAAAGCTCTGCAAATTGGAAAAAGTCTTCTTTAGTTCCATTCTAGCCAGGAGATGGCCAATTACTCAGAGATGAGATTGGGTGACAATATCACAGTGCTCAGCGTCCTCAACTTGTGGTGGCATCATCTCTCCCACGGACTTGTGCATCTGAATTTTGAGCTGTGGTTTTGCTGATCTGGTTGCCAGCAGATGTACAGTAAATGTTTACCACATGCAGCTGGCTCCTCCTTCCCTGGCCTTTTTCCCACTGGCAGGCTCACCTGGACCTGCTCCAGGACACAGCCTTGATACCTCCCACACAAGTGCCACCCCATAGACTCCTCACCTGCAGGTGTCTGGGTTGAACTCTAAGCCCCGCCCTTGGCAACGGAGGAAGCTGCGGCGTCTGCAGCGGCAGCGGCAGGTCCGGGGGTCAGGGCGCTGACGGCGCTGGGTGCAACGTGGGCAGAGGGTCCTGGGGCTGGAGTGGGATGGATGATGTCAGCTGGGGAGGGTGCTCCCGGGGCAGAGTCCCAGCCCGTAACAGAGCGGGGCTGGGGGCGGTGGTGGGGTATGGCAGCCCTAGGAGGAGAAGCAACATGTCTGGGGTGGAAAGAGTCTTCCCAGGATCTAGGGCTGGGACATAATACATTGATTTGGGGGAGCATAAATGGAAAGGGTGTCAGGTGAGAGGAGAAAGCAAAGAGGGGCTGCAGCCTCCTGGCTCACTTATGCACCTCCTAGCCTACCCATGTGCTCTCTCCTGGACCAGCAGCAACTCTCAGGGACTCACCTATCTGGTTTCACAGCACTGTCCCTTTTTTTTGGTCTGAAAAATGAGAAAGAGAGAGAGAGAAAGATAAGAGAGGGTAAAGAAACCAGAGCCTCCTGCTCTCTTGCCCCAGGATCCATGCCTACTTCTGGCTCTACTCTTAGTCACCTAGTCCCTACTACGGTGCAACCCCATGCCTGATACCCCCACCCCACGCTACACTGTGTGTACTTGGAAGTTAGACCTGGCTGGCACCTGCATTCACATTGGCTGTGTTCTTCCAGGGACATCTCCCCCAGCTGACTGCTCGGGTACTGGATCATGAGGATCTGTACTCAGGAGAATGAGGAAGAGACAGTAAGTGGGGGGGAGGGAGGGAGAAAGACAGAAAGGGGATGCTCATGGGCTGGAGAAGACTGGCCAGAACTTCCCACCTCCTGTGTACCTGTCTCTGGGCTGACCCAGCCCCCAGAGCACCATTGTCCCAGCAACACGCATGCCTCATAGGCCCCAGTACCTGCATTCGGACTTGGTGTTGCCCAATGGGCACACATTCCAGGCCGTCGTCAGGGCAGCAGCCACCACAGCGCTGCACAGTCACACAGCTGGGCACTAGTTGTTTGACCACATTACCCATGAGCTCCATGCTCAGAGGCACCACCACCTCCCTGGGCTGGCATGTGGCACGGGCATAAACATCCATCCATGGCACCACTGCGGGCAGACCCAGATGGATTAAGTTCTTACCAGGTTTCCTGAAGCTGCTTCGAGCATGTAGCCTCTCTATTATCCCATCCCCACCACCCCAACCCTTCCTTTAAACCTGTCTTCCTCTGCCTTCTTTCTCAAGAAACCATTAAGCCTCAGTTTCCTCATTTGGGAGAAATAGCATCTCCCAAAGGAGTTGGGATCACACAAGATGAGGGGCATAAAGTCAGGGTCTGTGCCAATCCCTCTTAGTACTGGCTGGTGTCAAGTTATTGTTAACTATTATTACCTTTCTTCTGGTGGCTGGGGCCATCAAATTGGGACACAGGAGCCTGTGGGAAAGAAGATACCTGGGTCCAAGGTACACTCTATAAGGGTTGGCCCTGTGACTGTTAAGTTCTCTGGCCCTGAGTCAGGCTTCTTGCTCCTTTCTGACATCTTTTCAGATTGTTCTGTTCCCAGCTCCTCGGCTCTAATTTTCCTTGTCCGCTTAGCCATCTGGGTCTTTCCCCTGGCCCAAGACCCACCAGACATACTATGGGAGTGGCACTAAACCCCACGCTTTGGAGGTGGGCTTGTTTTAGGTCAGGAGCGGGGGACAGTGGGAGGCAAACCAGGTACGGAGGGCACTGAGGCAGCTCCACCCCCCAGGAGCCCAGGGGATAGGGTAGGGCGG